TGCAACCCACGACACCCAGCTTCTAATTTGGTCCAACGAATAAACAAAATGCTGGCTTAGGATTGGAGGATAAGGATCTCTCACATTCATAGGGAAGGAAACAGAGTTGCAGATTGTATGGCTTCTTTTAGTTACATGTAGGACTAGGAGTTCGACTCACCTCTATTATCATAAAAACGACACGAAATATAAAGTTTCTACTACTTAAGGTCAAGACATATATATATATATATATATATATATATATATATATATATATATATATATATAGGGTAGGATCCTTTGTCAAATTTAAAGTTTGACACTTCATCTGAGAGTCGTTAGATAAAAAAAGATCAATGACTTTGATTTGTTAGCATGTGACACTATTGATTTTTTTTTATAACGGCTCCCAGATGAGGTGTCAAACTTTAAATTTGACACCGGTGTCAATTGATCTTACCCCATATATATATAAAGGGTAAAGTGTGTATCATTTTAAAGGATGTAAAGTTGTGTCATTTTAAGTGAGAGAAACAGGTAGATAAAAGAGGAGAGAGAATGGTCAAAAAAATATAAAGGTGTGAGTCCCACCTCTTTGTGAGAGTGAAATGTCATAAATTGTATCATTTAAAAGGACAAATATTTTTCCCACATATAATATATATAGAGGTTCACATTTCTGCAGCTGCTGTATGTGCAACAATCAAATAGTTGTCATATATATACTTGAAAGAATTAAATGCGGGGAATCATAACCATACAAAAGATGAAAACATTAAATATGGAAAATCATAACCATACAAAAGATGAAAACATTAAATATAGAAAATCATAACCATACACCTGTCGTTGCTGTATGTAAAGCGGCTGCAGAAATGATTTTACCATATATATATATATATATATATATATATATATATATATATATATATATACATGTAAAAAAAATCACATAAGTCATTACTCAAAATTTAATGAATAACTTCATAATTAAAAGATATAAGTCAGATAACTATATAAGACATAAGTCTAAAAACATAAAAAGAGAAAATTGAATTTAAAAAAATAAAAGGGTTTTTTTTTAAAATAAAATAAAATAAAATAATTGAGTTTTAGTAAGAACGCAAAAACTTATGTTTCCGTCGTTTCTACGTGGCTTTACTTGCATTTTAACACGTTTTTATATTGCGTTTCTCCCGTTTCTACGTTTTTAGACTAGTTTTTGACAACAATGGGTGTAACCATGTATAATATAAACTTATACGGCTGGATCCTTTAATACATCAAGATGGTGTATAATCTAATCAGGTATAGGGGGTGGTGAGATTAGATCTGATAAGAGATTTATATATTAGGTTAATTCATCCTAATTTTTTATTTCCCCAATAAACCTTCAATCCTTTTGTGAAACTAAAACAACCCTGAAAGTTTCTTGTGATTGTCCTTTGTTGGCAAGTAGTCCCAATGAACTCCGCCACCAGCCATCAAATTCAAACTCTCGTCGAAAGAATAACCACTAATTAGCCCCAGCAACTCATAGAAAGAACAATCACTAATTATCACCATAACAAGTCATTGGATATACCGAACATAAATAAATAAATAATAAAATAAAAAACAACCTTTATTTACATTCCCTCCCCAGATCCTCCACTTCTGGCAAAGTTCACTATAAGATGATCATAAACCCGAAAAAAAAAAGTGATTATTTGGACTATCAAATTCGTTGTCAGTGGCAATGAATTTGGTGGACTCAGAAAATGTGTCTTGTGACATAACCAAACTCGCTAATAGTTGTAGCATGTTTGGAGACGTGGCAATTTGACAAATTTTTTGGCCGGCAAGACATTTCGACAAATTTTTTTCAAAAAGGCGGCAATATAATCAATGTCTGGATCTAGTTTATATTCTCAATTATAAGTGCTACTTTAAAAAAAAAAAAAATTGTTGCCTTCTTAAAAAGGAAAAAAGAAGTGCTGGATGGTATATATTCAAAGAAAAAAATCAAGAAAAAAATAAGTGTAATTGCATTGTCTTTTACTCAACCATGAAAGACTAAGAAAAAGGAATAATACAAAAAAACTAAGAAAAAGGAATATTGAAGTGTGTTTGATTTATTTAGTTGGAGGTAATTAGTAAATGAGTTAGTCTAATTAGTAAATGAGTTAGTCTAATTTATTTAGTATAATTAATATAAAATTTTAATTAATAATACAAATAATTTTAAAATTAATCAGAAGACATGTATGTTAATAATCTTTTTCTCTTCAAAAGGAGAACTTGGATCGGAATATTAACTTATTATCGAGAAAAGCAAAGAACGGGTGACTCGTGGACCCGTGGTACCGTGATTGATTTTTTTTTTATCCCTTTTTTGTGATTTTTTTTTCTTAAAAAGACTTATGGATTTAAAAATTTTAGCACCCCCGGCACATTCTTTTAATTTTAATAAATATTAAAAATGTGATTCTTTGTCAAAATTGGAGCTTAAACGCTCAACAAAGACTCATACTCTAATTCCTGCAATTTTTGAAAGCGCACCAACTCTAATTTTTGGATTTTTTTTTTTAACAGGTTAATTGGATTAAAAACAAAACCCATTAATTACACACAATGGTGATTAAATCCATATAAATTGCTTAGTTGCCGTTGAATTTTCGTTTATTCCTTTCGGGTAAAACAGAAAAGTAAAAAGATGTTGACAATAAATTTCATTTATGTTTCCTTGCCACTGGCCACGAGAAGCATTTTAAGCTTCGAGAAATTACTGCCCAATGCTGACCAAGTTCATAGCTAGATTCGTAACAAAATTGTCCAACAACATATGATGCATGCATGTTTAGCGAAGCCCATAGAAATGGCCAGATTTAGCGTTCTAACTCGGCCCATTGACGGCTGCCATTGAAACTATTTATTTTAAATAAATAACTATTTTTTTAAAAATTATTTGAAAACTTTAAAAATAAATAAATTCTACAATAAACTAATCTAAATAGGTACTAACATGCAATTTTAATAATTATGTTCTGAAATAACATTTCAAAAAAAAAAAATGTTCCTAAAGTAACTTATTTCCAAACATGCAATACACTTGTTGCACAATTCTTCAAGCCATTCAAATAAAAAGGAGCACACCTTTTATTTGATTATTGTTATTAAAAAATGTTAGCTGATGCTTTAAATTATTAAAAAAATGTATGATAGTGAAAGAATAATACATAAAAGTTAAAACAAATGATGCAATGTAGTTTCTCAAAATGAAGGTTGTTATGTAATAACCACTAGAAATTAATGCAATTATCCTTAGAAAATAATTTGATACGATAACAATGAAAATTACAAAAACGAGGGAATGTATCCTGGATGAGAATTTGTTTTATACACTTTAATGAAAATAAAATTCAATATGCATTTAATTTCATTTTCAGATGATATATTTGTATTAATAATTATTAAATTGTCATTTGAAAAACCTATAAAAAGTGTTATTGTAAAAAAAAATATTTTTATAATTATTAACAGAAATATATATCAATTAAAACAAATTACGAGTGTATTTACCAAAAAAATATTAAAGGTATCAAAACAGGTTATGACACGCGATTCGACTTGTGAGAAGATAAAAAATTAGCGTTCAGGGTGACCAGCAAAAAATTCATATTGTATTTGTGCTGAAAAAATGACACGTAAAAAATTCGTGTTATGCCATCTTTTTAAAACTTTAACCCAATTTTTTAAAAACATTTGGTCAATTATCATTTTGACCCACAATTTGTTTGTCATTTGTGTTGGGTTGGATCAACTTACAAAAAAATTTGTGTTGCGTTCGTTTTGAAAATTTTGACATAAATAAAATTTCGTGTCATGTTCGTATTGTGTATTCATGTCATGACAGATTTGTGTCGTGTCAATCCGTTTTGACACCCCTGTTTATGAACCAAACATGTTCTTAAAATACCCAACTTTAATGTGAAAAAAAAATGTTATATACGTAAAGTGTTTTACGGTGTTAGAGCTTAGAGAGACTGTAAGAAGGGGTGCATGTAAGAGTGTAAATAGACCAAATGATTTAAGCAGTGGCTTATGATTTGGCTACATCATATTAGATTTGACCTATTACATATAATCAAATAAAATTAACTTAGGCTTAAAAAAAAATTTATTTAAAAAACAGATCATATACTTTATTTTATATGCATGATCTATAAATTTATAGGTCAACCTATATCATATTATTTAAAATAAATAAATTATTAATTTAAGGATTTTGAATAATAAAGGAATATTATTTTATTTTTAATTATTAAATGTATAATAAGCTTAAACAAGCCAACCAGTGATTAGCCTAATATGAGATTTTTGTTTTTTAAATATAGACTAGATCAAATTTATAATTTAAATCTACAAAAAATTAACAGATCAAAACACACTTAAAATATTTTTTATAAACCTAAACTATTTAAATGAAAGTATAATCCAACCTAATTTATTAACATCGCTAGTTCAAGAATTGATGATTACTTCAATTCCCAATGGTCCGACATTTTAGCTCGCATGCAGAAAATAATTGATGATGCTGTACCAAAAAAATAATAAAAAAATATAATTGATGATGACGAGTCTACACCGTGCACCAGTCCGCACCACCACCCTATCTGCATTTTATTTTATTTTACTCTTTAACTTTTTTAATTGGAAAAAGTTCACCAATACTCTGGTGGTTTGTTTTAGAATCATTTATGTTCTTGTAGCTTTTTTATCACATGACACATATGTCTCTATGATTTGTAAAAGGGTGTGTTTTTTTATCACATATGTCCCTATGGTTTTTTGTTTTTTCACAAAGCACAGGTAAAAAAAACTACAGGAATATAGATGATTCTGAAGCAAATCACACGTACATACGTTAACTTTCCCCTTTTTAATTTTGATGCAGGGGCCCAAAAACGACGTCGTAAAAAGCTTGGGTGGGTTAATTAAAACGGAAAAATTAGCGTTTGAGTTGCGATTATTCCATCATCATCATCTGAGGGGAGAGAGTGAAGTGGGGGGATTTTCAATTTCGTTGTGTTGTGTTGTAGGCGAGAGTAGAGAACGTCGAAACCCGAAAAGCAAAAAAGGGAAATGGGTAAGGATCTGAGCGATGATCAAGTTTCTTCGATGAAGGAAGCTTTCACTCTGTTCGACACCGACGGTGACGGTCGGATCGCTCCTTCGGAGCTTGGGATCCTAATGAGGTCTCTCGGAGGCAACCCGACCCAAGCCCAACTGAAAGCCATCGTGGCCGAAGAGAACCTCACCGCACCCTTCGATTTCCCACGATTTCTGGATCTCATGGCGAAGCACATGAAGCCCGAACCCTTCGATCGCCAGCTTCGCGACGCCTTCAAGGTTCTCGACAAGGACTCCACCGGCTTCGTCTCAGTGTCGGAACTTCGCCACATCCTAACCAGCATCGGCGAGAAACTCGAGCCTGCCGAGTTTGATGAGTGGATCAGGGAAGTCGATGTTGGCTCAGATGGCAAGATCCGTTACGAGGATTTCATCGCCAGAATGGTCGCTAAGTAAAGACGAGATCCTGCAACAATTGGAATCGCTTTAAAATGATTTCTTTTTGTCTAGTGTTTTGATATTACTTCTGTTTAATATGTGATGTTTGCTTTTCTTCCATTCCGTTTCCTTTCAGTGGAACAATCAATTAACCAAGTTATGCTTATTTTCCAACATTTTTAACCGTGGTTATTCAATTTGCCCTATTTGTTTGATGAGATCTGATTCTGAGGGAGTTCATATCTGCTGTAATTGTTTCTAAGCTAAAATAGACCAAGTCGTGGTTGGGCAAATGTATGTATTTAATCGTTTGTTCCTTTTTGTATCAAACTTGGTTTTTTTTTTTTTTTTTTTTAATTTCCAAAAGCGAAGTGGAATGGGGAAGTAGAGGACGGTGGTGCAATCTTACTGAATAATCAAATCTTACACCGTGTAAAATTCATATAATATGTAAATGTCTGCATGCATGTGAGATTCCTCTCTTGCTTGAATGACGTCTGAACTTCAAACTTCAAGAATCCTTTTCCAGACATTCCCCCCCCCCCCCCTTTTGCTGCTTGTGTTCTAGCTGCATCTGACTTTTCTTGTTGAAGGAAGGGAGTTATACATATTATTTTTGGTAAGGAAATGAATGCAGGAAATATTTTGTTGGAAATTTTATTACTCTGGAGTTCGGTATTCACAAAGATGGCATATATTATTGATAGTTCAATAGCATTTGAATGTTGATTGTTTGAATGAGTGGGTTTTTACTGGTGCTAGTTGTTATGTATATAGAAGAAAGCAGATTGGTTTGACGTCAGCAGCGGTCTATAGCATTTGAATATAAGGATTAGAAGGATAAATGTTGCTTGAATATACGTTTGGTTGTTGTCATCTTTTTTGTAGTTTAATAGTTCTATGTAGGTTCTAAACATGAAATTTAGACGTTGCTTCCTTATATACTTCATGATTTATGAATGGTTGGTCGAATGTAAAGAAACTATTTCCATGCTTATAATGCTTATTGCAATATCTTTAAGGTAGTGCTCAAATGGCTTACACAATTCCAATGATGTAAAGAATGAGAATGAAAGTCTGAAAGGTATTATCAGCCAGACCTGGACCTGAAGTATAACTATATTATTACTGAGGCAGCGAGCAGTAAATAAAACATTTGTAGCATATGTCAATGAGGGTTGATGTATTTCATCAGACCATTCGGTCAGACTCAAATGTGATATTTGTTGAAATAGTGTTTACATGTGGAATTGTGTGTGTGATCTCAATGCCAGTTGCTTTTGGGTAATAGAATCTCTTTTTAAAATGGGAGTTTTGTGTCTCACGCATAACCAATGTGGATCTTGCATCATTATTTACTAGGTATGATACTCTTAAGCTGATGGCTTGTTTGTGAATTATGGATTTTTAAATCCTCTATGTTTTGTAGTTATAATTTCATAAATACCTCTGAAGCATCGAATTTCAAGATAATAGTAGTATGAATATTGTCCATGTCAAGATTAACTTCAGTATGATACTTTTAAACATCGAATGAAAGTCAAAACTAGACACTAAAACCCATCTTGACACTTCCTAATCTTTTGTTCGTGACTCTATTATTAATCAACATGAATGAAGATGAAATATGACTCAATTCATTGATTTTTCTTCTTTGCTTGTGTGTCTGTTTGTATGCTTGTGTGTTTTTCTTAATATAAATTTCTTATTAGGTGTTTGATCAAGCGTTGTGGCCTTAAATTTCTCATTAGGTGCTTGTTTGTGTCATGTTATGTACTGTGTTTCTTGTCTGTTTGCACTCTGCAGACACTGCCCTTTATAACTATTTACCACTTTCGTTCTAACTGTCTATAGGGGAGAGCTCTTGCAGGTGATCGAGGTCCTTATTGTTATGCTAATATTAATTCAACTTGTTAGAACCCTTGTATGCTGTTCTGAGATCACCTGTTGGAACTCTTAGACCTTTCAGACTGGCGCTGTATATAATTACTGTTTAAAAATAGGGATATATTAGTTTTTCATCTTGTCTTTTATTCAGAAGCCATGGCTGATCTTCACCATTGTTCGAATCCTTTTCTATGTTTATTTGGATGTGTGCGCATTTGTTTAGAAGTTGTGAATGCAGGTCAATTCATATGACTTTTGGTGTGTATGTTTACTTGGTAAAATTATGGAAATAGACCCTCACCCTGGGTTTTCCCCTTTAGACTTCTTTGTGATGTTTAATTTGATTATTTGAACATCAAGTTCTTCTGTTGCTCAGAGTCAAGTAAACAAAGAGTTTGGTTTAGTTTTTAAAACCTCCTTGTTTTATTGTTTTATTTTTTATTGATATGTTTTTATTGTTAATTATTAATGTCAACTTGTTTTTATTATTAATTTTTATAAATTTAAGAAATAAAATAAAAATGTAACATGTTTGCAATTATTTGTAAAAGTATGTTGACGAAAAATTAAAACGAAAAACGAATCAACGGTACTCTAAATTATTATGTTTTTCTTGGGTTGAATAACTTCATTAGAAAATGGCTTTTGTAGGCTTGAGTGGTGACATTTACAAGCATGTCTTTTTCGAGGTTTTTACAGTTACTGCTGTCTGAGGATGATTTTTTCTCATTTTCATATCCTGTGTTTAATATATCTTTTTGGCACGTTTTACAACTTATTTGTTAAACCATGTAATTGCCTCTTAGAGATTTTTTTTAACTTCTCTTCTCCTAATAAATAAAAGTTAGGCAAAATAGATTTTTATAAAAGATTTTATAATAAAGAGTGTTTTTTAATGAAGAAAAAAGTCAAAAATCAAAAGTTTTTAGGAGGAATTTTTAAGTTGTAACTATCAGTTTTTCTTAGGAGGGGTGATTATCACTCTTACTGCCTATTTAGTTATTATTAAATCAATTTGAAATCAAGGGTTGAAAAAAAAAATGATTGCAACTTTTTTGAAATTGATCCAACAATAATGTTTTTATCTTTTTTTGAAATGAACAGCTTTTCAATAATGTTTTTATCTTTCTTTCTTTTAACTTTAACTTAAGATTAACTTTAATTTAAAAAAGAGAGAGAGAGGTGTCAAATGAGTCCAGACTCAAAATAAAATTTAAGATACACACAAAATCTTATTTACTTTAAGGAAAGCTTTTCAATTTGTATAAATATAACCACCACCTTGACTGTGCTGATTACATGCATTGCATTCAGCCGTAGGAACAAGTTTTTAGTAATACCGTCCCACGGTCATATTATAATTATATATTTTTTTGAAATATATAATTATAATATTAAAATTGTTTTTTTTCCCTAAGAGGGGGTATTCAAGATTTTTCCCAGCCATAGGATAATGCTACTTGCGACTTTTTTTTATTGCTATTTGTAGGTGTTTTTCACGATGATTTCAATTATGGACACCGATATAACTGTTTATTTATGAAAAAAGAGAAATACTAATAATACTTTTTTATTATTTGGTAAATTGCATTTTTTTATTAAATAAAGTGTGGACTCAAATTGTTCAATAAGATTTAAATAAAATTTATTTAGAAAAAATGTGCTAAAAAATATGTTAAAAAAATGTGATGCTATGCAACTAAGGGGGTGTATTGGACTAGGAGTTTAAAAGACTTTTTTTTGAAATAAAAAATCTTATAGATTTTAAAAAACTATTTAAAATTGGAGGAATTTTAAAGACTTTTTTACAATCAAGATTTCATAAAATTGGATTTTAATAGAATTATAAGATTTTAAAGGACAATATGAATTTATAAGATTTTAAAAAATCATATAAATTTTTAATAAACATTCAAAATTAAAAAGGTCAATAAAAAAAAAGAATGCAATGATATTAATAAAAAAAAATAAAACCTAATATAATTTTCTCAATCAGTAAAATTCATGATAAAATTTCGTTTGGAATTTTTTTTAATTAATCTTGTAAACCTTGGGATTTTTATTCTACGTGATTAGAGTTTTCTAACCATATCATGTTCATGTTTTCATTGAATATTTCAAGAAAATTTTGAATCTGAATTTCTGCGATTTATTACATGAAAGTTTAGAAAATTTCTGAAATTATTTTTCAATTGATACGTTGAAACCTTAAATTACTTTGGAACTTTTGAAAAATAAGTTTTTAGTGATCTATTAATACAAAATCTGTTTGAAATTGTTTCCTATAGTGAAGGAATTTCGTTCATGAATGTATTGTTATGAAACATAGGGTTTATATTATGAAAGTTTCAATCTTTCTTTAAATCGATCTTGTATCGTTGATGTAAAACAAAAATTGGTTTGAGGGTTTTTGTTCCCCTGTTATTTTTTCACTGTTTTATGTTATTTTTAATACAAAAATCACACATTTTGTGCACACAAAAAAATCGCGACCAATAGCTTGAAAAATCATTTTTCAAACTTCCTAAAACTCTCAAAAAACAACTAAAAAATCTACTATTTTTGAGATGGATTAAATTAAAATCTTGTTGGGTTGTTGTTTCTGGGTTATTTTGTGATGAAAATCGCTGAAAAATCTTTTATTCTTGAGCTTTGACGAAGCTCCCGTGGTGGAACCTGTTTCGAGCAGGTCGACCCGCCAAAGGAAGAAAAAGACATTCAATAGAGAAATCTCAAGAAATCTTAGGGGTTAGATGAGATTACGAGAGAGGCATCTTATCTATATTTATCACTAGAAAGTCTTACAAAATCCACACCAATAGAAAATCCATTAGAATCGTCAAATTTTTGAATAGCACAAGATTATTTTTCCTTTGTTTAAAATCCTGATTGAATATTCACCAACGGGTTTGGATGGACTCTAAAATAGTCTTTTAAAATCCTAATTGAATACCACGTAACTTTTTTTCAATCCTTTAAAATCCTAATTGAATATCAATAGTTTTTTTATCCAAAAATAATTCATTAAAATCCTTTGAAATCTCAATCCAATACACTCTAAGTATGTGATGTGATGGTGGCCCCTTGATATAGTACAAATATGAAAATGCTTAAAATGTATTATTGTTCCTTTTAGCTTTATTTTAAAAAAGAATTATTGTATGCCTTTTTGTTTTTCATTTTTCACTTAACTAGTAGATTCTTAAGTAGTGTTTGGTATAGGTTTTTTGAAAATATTCCTAGTCATTCATCATTGGTAAATGTTGTTGTCCTTGTTTGGTAGAGGACTTTTATAAATTTAGCCTGCACACTCATTTGTCTAGCAATCACCAACCATGTGAAAAAAGAGAACAAATGCACTCTTCAACTTCGGGGCTTTTGACCCCAGTAGTTCGTTTTTGAAAATGTATCACCGGAACACGTTCATGATGGAAGGATATACCAATGTAATGCATGACAACGCGGGAGGCGGGCTACCGTATTAAAACGCGTTCATAAAACAATCGTGTTCCATGCAACATGCAAACGACCATCGTGTGGGAGTTGCAGCTGCAATTAGTGCAACTGAACACGGCACCTGCGCAGCTGCGTCTCTATGGTGTCAGGGCGTACTAACGCGGTGCCTGCCAAGCCGCGTCCCACCCCTTCCCCCCAGCACCTTCTCCCATTCTCGCTGATCTGGAATGTTGTCGAGAGATTTTTGTAAACAGAGAGCAAAGTGTGTGGGTTCTGCGAAACTAAAACAACATATTGCAGAAGAGCTTAAGTCCCCGGTGTGGTGGGTCCCCACGTAAACAACATTAATTTCTCGATAAAATTAATGTTTATTCCTGTTTTTTACGTGGGGACCCACCACACCGGGGACTTAAGCTCTTCTGCAATTTAGTTTCGCAGAACCCACACACTTTGCTCTCTGTTTACAAAAATCTCCCGACAACATTCCAGATCAGCGAGAATGGGAGAAGGTGCTGGGGGGAAGGGGTGGGACGCGGCTTGGCAGGCACCGCGTCAGTACGCTCTGACACCATAGAGACGCGGCTGCGCAGGTGCCGTGTTCAATTGCACTAATTACAGCTGCAACTCCCACGCGATGGCCGTTCGCATGTTGCATGGAACGCGATTATTTTATGAACGCGTTTTAATACGGTAGCCCACCTCCCGCGTCGTCATGCATTATATTGGTATATCCTTCCATCATGGACGTGTTCCGGTGATACATTTTCAAAAACGAACTACTAGGATCAAAAGCCCTCAACTTTGCCAATTGCAATATGGTATTTGTAGAAAGCTATGCAAATGGGAAAAAGTGGACTTGCATAGTGACTTTTTTACCCTCTTGTACAGGACATGTGTGGACTTTCAAAAAGTGGACAGTATATGGTGACTTTCAAAAATTTGGAACCGTACTTACAATATTCTTTTACCTTCAAAATTATAATAATAAAGGTTATTTTTGTCTTTTCAACCTACTTTCTCATCACTCTTTTCAACCTACTTTCAAAAAGTGGACAGACTCGTAAAATTTAATTCAATTTTTCTGGTAAAATTTTGACTAACTAAACAACTTTTTTTTTAACTTTTCTACAAAATTCATTTTCCCACCATATACCTGATAAATGTATTTACCTAATAAAAAAAGGGAAAAACTAGTATAATGTGACATGATATAACATTTTTTACCTGTTGACCCATTGATTTTCACACCAACTTTTTTTATTTTTTGTTTTTATTACATGTATACCACATGCATTTTTGTTTGAGTAGGAAAAATGATTTTGATTCCTATTATATGATAGTAGCTTTATCCTAAAAAAAATTATCACCTCTACCAAATGCTCCCTTTGCGTCAGATTGCGGTATCTCATTAGCTTTATGTAACGGTTTGGTTTGGACTCTGAACATTAATATTTAGTTCAGGCTTCGTGTTTGATTGAAAATAAAAATGACTTGGCTCTGACCAATTTTTTTCTTTTGGCTCTCAATATTATATTATTCATAATATAATAATTTTACTTATATAAATACCAGTTTGCTCCGTTACGATGAAAACATCTTATTTTATATGATCTTAATAAATATATTTAGCCGTCGTATAATCTTTCAAAAATATGTCCTACTGAATATAAAAATTCTTATTTTATATGATCTTAATAAATATATTTAGCCGTCGTATAATCTTTCAAAAATATGTCCTACTGAATTTATTTTTATATTTTGTTTAACTTTTGCGAGTTGATATTTCTTGCTCCTAATTAGATAGCGCATGCAAACAAAGGGTCGCTGTCTAAAATAACTTGGTTGCATCACTTGCATGACATAATAGACACTATTATCAAGTTGTGTGCATTATTTTGTAATTAAGGTCAGACTATATGACAAACCCCTTCGATTGAGAGATTCAAACTTGTTCAATTTCTTTTTGGAAAGAGACTCAAATTTAATTTGAGTAAAATAATGAGGGATCAAAATGATGCTATTATCAATCAAAATGAATTTCAATATAAATAATTTATTTATTTTTTTAAAAGTAAATTTATGAATGTAATTTGTGTTGAATACAAGTCCTGTCTGGATAGAAGTTCTCATGTCATGGCTTCATCCTTTACCTGGAGTACACCTTCCTTCATAAATATATCTCCATGATATTAGAGCTTTAGTGTACTGGGTTCGATCCTCAACGCACTTTCTTTTCTAGTGGAATTTATTTTTTCGCACAGATAGGTGGGCCTGTGCATCGTCCACCCTTCAAGGACAGTGGACTCTCGTGTGAGGAGGCGTGTTGAGATATATAAAACCATTAATGTAACCTCACCCAACAACTTAAGCTTTTGAGTTAAATTGATTCTTTATACGAGACTCTCTGTCATCTTCGGTAGAGGTCAAGTTAATTGAAAGTAATTTCAATGATGTGCTTGGTTGAGTGAGCGGAAAGTGGAAAATGGATGTGACAATTTAAAGATGATTTTGAATCACGAGTGAAAAACAAGTCTTTTGTATTTTCCACCCTTTTTTGTGTTTATTGTACTAAATAAGTCTAAAGTGACTTTCATTCTAAATTTTTACAATACCACTTTCCACATACTAAACGAAACAGACGCCGATTTTCTTGGTTATTATCATCAGTTCGTTACCTGGTTTTTGTGGTTATTCCTTTGTATGTTTTTTTTTTTTTTTTTTATCATTCCCCTGTTTCTGAACCAGAAACATGAATGAAATGGAAGGAAGGCCGAAAAATACAAGTTGTGCTCACATTACTGTTGAAAAGCATTTTCCATATCAGTGCAGTTGTTCACTTGTTCGAAGGGTGATGATTATTTTAACTTGGATTCTATTCTGACGTACATACTAATGGTGTTTCTCAATAGGATATCCTTGATAATAGTACACGCTTTCTAATACGCACCTTTAGAATTTGAACTGCTCATAATCATATGAAAAAGTTCTAATTATATAAAAAAAAATTAGCGGTGATAATTTTATAACTACTCATCTTCATATTTTATTTTATTTTTCCTTTATCACCGTTGATTCACATTTATATGATTATGATTTTCTAGACATAGTCATATTAATTAACACATAAAAAATTTACTCTTGAATAAATGCCTTTTTCGGTGTGTAATTCTATAACTACTCATCTTCATATATTTTTTTTTCTCTTTTCCTTTATCACCATTGATTCATATTTATATGGTTATGATTTTCTAGACATAGTCATATTAATTAACACATAAAAAAATTCACTCTTGAATAAATGCTTTTTTCGGTGTGTAATTCTACAGTGTTCTTAATGCGACATTACTATTGACTTTTGACATAAAAAAATTCACCCTGGTTGCTTTGCGGTTGCGGGGTTGCTAAACTAGTTTTGAGGTGTCGTTTTGAGGTTAATTTGGAGGCTAATGGGAGATACGGCGTCTTATTTTATTAAGAACCTTTGATTACACAGAAAGACATTATTATACGCCACGTTGACAGCTGTTTATGGTTTTCATTTTAAGTAATATAATATTTTCGAAAAATTATTTTAAAGGATCTCGTATTTCTGCATTCGTAAGTGTAACATATATGAAATGCGTTTATGAATGGAACATAATATATTAATATTTAATTAAAAGCTTCTTTAATCACTTCGAACGCAGGAGTTTGCATTACCAAAAGTTTCTTTAATTAAATACTATGGTACTGCCTTCATGATGTGGGCGTTCCGGTAATCCAATTCAATCCTGGAGCTTCATCGCGTCCTGTGCCAACTCGTGCCCCGCAAAATTGCCCTGTTGAGTTGCTCGTATATACAGTTAACCAAATCATCGAATGACACTAACGTCTTTAACTAATTGAAGGCTAGGAGTTACGTTTGTGCTTATTTAAAGTTGATAACAGCGTTTAAAATTATATACTTCCAATTGTCACATGTTATTTAATGATTCCATGTACAGTATATAACAGAGAAACAAGTTTTAATCTAAATATATAGGTTTCTCTTGGTCGAGATTAGAGCATGCCAAAGTCCGCAGAACAGCCACTTCTGACAAAAACATCAAACAGTTTCTAGGAAGTATTTTGAACTTTTTAAATCAGCTATCCTCCTAAAAGAAACCACTGCTCCCCAGATGACAACAGTCTCATACATAAACTGATACATATTTATCCATCTGGCTCTCTTAAAGTCTCTTTTCATAACAATAATGTTCTTTATTACTCACTCTTCAACAAGAAGTTGCTGCCACCAAACGGCATACATACGCGAGCCAAGGAGACTAAATATACCAAGTGATAGACTAAAACCAAACAACATCATACCAAGTTGCACTAACGTTACCATTGGCTAAACGAGGGTCGAGGCCGAGGGTAGCTAAAAGTAGCTCCATACCAATACCAGCACATTGCAAGCAAGCTCTCTGAACAAACATACAGACCAAAAGATATTCCTGTCCACGAGGATTCACAAGGCTGATCTCCAAGCCAAAAGCATATTGTATTCTTACGAAAAGTACTTGCACTAAATGCTGGCAAACAGGCAATTCAGCAGTCATCAACATGACAAACTAGTTTAAACCTACAACATGGCTTAACAAATTCGTAGTTCAAACCTAAAACATGGCAAAACATGTTCGTAAGCGCAATGACTGACTAATCGTTTATGGAATAAATCTACACTGTCAAATAAAGCAAAACAATTTAGCACCCCCTGAAAATGGTTTGAATGGAAAACTCAAAAGAAAAGAGAGGGTGCACAACACATAAGGAATATCAATTTGACCTCTTAATAAAAAACTGTACAATGGCTAACGTAAAAAGGCAAACATTCGAAGATTAAAGTCAAGCAAAATTAAAGAGAGAAGAAAGAGAGAGAGAGAGAGCATGATACTAGTTATTCCCTAATACAATTGGAAGCCAACAATTGTACAGGCGAGATTAGACAATGTTTTGCAGCAGAGCAAAGATATGAATCACCAAGCACTCTTGTTCTTAGAGGCAGAGTAAAAGTCGAGGTACCACCGCACAAACTTCCTGAGTCCTGCCTCCAAATCAGTAGTAGGCATATAGCCAAGCTGCTTCTGTGCTCTGCTGATATTAGCATGTGTAAAGGTAACATCTCCATTTCTTGGCATTGGCATTACCTTCCTCTTTGCCTTCACCTTGAGAAGCTTCTCCAATATGGTGACAAGCTCAGTGACGGGCACAGGCGTAGTATTACCCAAGTTAAAGATCCTAAACTGTGCAGGTCCCTTCTTCTTGCCGCCACTACCAGTACTCTTCTTAGCAGTATCCAAAGCCCGCAAACAGCCCTTCACAATGTCGTCAATGTAAGTGAAATCTCTGGCAACGCTTCCACCATCAGGGGCTTCAAAGATCGTAATCTGCTTCCCCTTGAGAATATCCTTCGTGAAGAAGAAATATGCCATATCAGGTCGACCCCAAGGACCATACACCGTGAAGAAACGCAAACCAGTGATGGAAAGACCATAAATATGATTATAAGTGTGAGCGATTTCTTCACCAGCCTTCTTAGTCGCAGCATAAAGACTAGCAGGTTGATCCGTTCTGTCTTTTTCGGAGAAGGGTACCTTAGAATTCAACCCATAAACGGAACTTGAAGACGCATACACAATCGCAGGTTGTGGGTTCGCCGATTTACAAACTTGAAGAAGATTCACAAAGCCAGCGATGTTGCTGTGAACATAGGAACCTGGGTTCTGCATGGCGTAGCGAACCCCTGCTTGTGCGGCGAAGTGCATCACGTGTGTGAACGCGACAACATCAAAGAGCTTGTGGAGGAGTGCGGAATCGTTGATGTCACCCTCAACCACGAACACCCCAGCGCGCCATAGAAGCTTCTGCCGAGCGTACTTCAGGTTGGGGTCATAGTAACGGTTGAAATTGTCCATGCCGAGGACGCCGTCACCGCGCCGCTTCAACGCCAGGGACGCGTGGCTGCCGACGAAGCCGGCGGCGCCGGTGACGAGGACGGTGAAGCCGGAAGCGGTGTTCCTACGCGCGGATTTGCTGACGCGCTTTTCCCAATCGGGACCGCCCCAGGAATCGCGGCGAGGGGCTGCGGCGGGGGAAGCGGAGGGAGGGGAAAAGATGAAGAAGAAGACGATGAAGGCAAGGAAAATGAAAGACCATAGTGTGAGTTTAGATAATCTCAGGCGATGAATGTACGGTGGATACTTCTCGGGCTTCCACTTCCCTGCTGTAGATGTTGATGGTATCGGTATGTTGTTCATTGACGACACTGTCTTCTCAGCTGTGACTTTTGATATATTGTAATAGAACCCTAATTTCAGAGACCACTCTGCTTCTTGGGACAATTTTTCTTTTGTGCTTGGAATTTAGAAAGAAAAGGGTTTGATTGAATCTCTCTTATATAACAAATTCCAATTATGAAATCAGAAAAAGAGGGAGATGGTGGGTATTCTCAGAATTTGCTTTGAGGATTTTGACTTTTTACTCCTATTGACTCTTCTCTCATTACTTTGTGCATGTGCGTGCTTGCTTCCACCGCTGCCTCTTTAAGATATATATTCATTGCTATTGTTGACTCCTCTATTGGTCTCTCAATGATTTCTTTAGTCGAATTGGGTTTTCTCTAATAAATCTTTTTTCTTCATCTGGCGGATACTTCCTTTTTTTTGGAGAGGGGGGATTAGATAAAAAGAATCTGCTCTTAATGGATAGTTTTTTTTTTTTTGGGGAAAAATAGTTAACAAGAATCTGCTCTTAATGGATAATCATAATAATCTTTGAAAAGTTTACTCACCCAAATTCAACTGTTTTTGCGTGCAAGTAATAGCGGAGAAAGAGGTAATTTTGTATTTTCCCCTTTGGATCTTCCAAATAATTCTGCGTCATTTGGTTGGTACTCTAGTATGAACTGACCTTATCCGTGTTACAATTCTAAAAAACAAAGTTTGTTCGAGCATCAACTAACCTTGTCAGTGATACAGCCCTACAAATTAATTCCCTATTTTTTAAAATATTTCAATCGGTTCATTGCTTCGCAACTAATCCGATTTGGGGCGGATCCAGGATTAAGACTTTAAACCCCTTCCAAAAGTGATATTGAAAATATTCGAACACATGCTCTCACCCCACGAATAAATCTTTAGTACTACTGTTGTACCAAGATTCAGCGCATCTCATCAATGAGAACATTACATATCAGAGGAGAGAGAAAAAATTTGACAGAAAAAACAGAATTTTAACTGACATGTAATATTTTCATTGGTGGGATGCACTGAATCTTTGGTACAGCAGTAGTACCAAAGATTTATTCCACCCTCACCTGCTCAGCTATCATGCGCCAACTCCGTTATTAACATTTGCTAGAAATTAATTCCCTCTAACGTAGTACATAGTCAATAAAACAAAAGCTTTGATGCTATTCATTTTATGGCTTATATCTTCTTTAAATTTATCATGCGCCACTTTTTTTTGAAGTAGGTATTTTATCATAGGGTTTATCATCTATCATTTAACATGACCACAAAAATTTTCCTACACACGCAACATTTTGTGGGGCCCGCAGCAAAAAAAAAAAGAAAAACTCTGGCACGCAAAACGAATCTCTATAACATAACACAATCACTTTTCCTACAACATAACTCTTATAAAACCCTTTATCATATCGTCTGTTTTTTCCAATTTACAATAATATCTTTTATCATGTATCGTACTTTTCTTAATGAGTTATTTTTATCATATGTTTGTCGTGTGTGTATTATAATTATAGATTTGTGGTCATCTAATCCATTAAACTGCACCCATAAGATTGTCTCAGGGTTGTTAGTAATATTTGTGCGAATTATATTTATACCAAGAGCCTGGTCAGAATTAAATGGCTTTGGTAATTATAGTATACAAAGAAAGTAAAAGAAAATCGTGGGTATCATTAATCAATTTGACCACTAATTATTTGTTTTTATATATAAATTTCAACTACTACCTAAATATTATACAACATGATTTAATTAAATTTGCACTTACCTCAACGCTAAGGACTCCCTCCGCATTGAAGGGGCAAATCGTCCAACCACGAATCATCCATAAGTTGGGGTGAAGATTCTATTTCAGTGGGCCATTCACAGCTAACATCTATTTCATCATAGATAATGGGTCTAAATTTTGTTTCCCTGCGTTGGAAAATGGCTTGTAACCAAAGATTGCAATGCACAAAAACCAAATCGCTGAATTTCTCCAGCTCCACTCTGTTACGTTTCTTGTTATGTAAACTCTCAAAAGTGCTCCAGTTCCATCTGTACCAAAGGGAACTACAAGGTTGGGTAAGTATCTGTACTGCAGCTTTCTGGAGCGTGGGGATTTCATAACCATAACTGGCCCACCAGTCGCCTAGATATCCATAAAATTAAATAAGCAAAAAATTTCAGAAGAACAAAAACACAAGACGCATGTTCAATTGAGAAAAGACAGTCAGTTGGACTGTACTGTAAAGAACCTTGAGATACACCACTCTAAAAGCTAGCTCAAAGGGTGGGAGTGCCCAAGGCCTTATAAACTCCACATTAGTTGCACATACAACCAAGGTGAGACTATATATCTCAACACGCCCTCTCACACAAGAGCCCATTGGGCTTGAAGAGTGGACAATGCAACAGGCCCAGCCTACCTGTGCTAAGAAACGCCACAAGAGAAAGTGGGGGGCGGCGAGGCTCTGATACCATGTAAAGAACCTTGAGATACACCATCCCAAAAGCTAGCTCAAAGGGTGGGAGTGCCCAAGGCCTTATAAACTCCACATTAGTTGCACATACAACCAAGGTGGGACTATATATCTCAACATGTACAAGAATAAAAACTTGTCAAACATCTAAAGATATAATCCACTACACCCAACTGTCGTTTTACTTTTTTTTGGGTACAACTGTCGTTTTTCTTGTTCATAATATCCTTGATACTTAAAATTCCTCTTTATACAATACAATACAATACAAGGGCTGCAAGCCTGTAACCATTTTCTTACATATCAGTAAAATGTACTAGAACTGTTGACTGAATGAATGTAACAGGTTGTTCTAGGGATCAGAAAGTTGGGAAGTTATAGAATTAGTCAGGTGGTTATTGCGAGAAAGGCAGGGGCTTAGCTTAAATAGGAGGGGTTTAAGGGAGAGTAACATAGTTGTTAATATTGAAAACAGTGCAGTGGCTCAATTGTAAGGAACAATTCTTAGAGGAGATTTCTATCCTTTTTCTGTTTAGTTTCAGATATCGATAACAGTCTCTATTCATTCTTTTCTCTCTTCCATTCTATCACTCAGCTCCCTCATTCGCGGTTTCCTAACAGGTTGCAACAATTTTGGCATACACTATTGATAGGATGCGACAATAAGGGAGCATCAAGGAGAAGTATGTCGCACTCCAACAATGATCCACTTTACAACACAGAGCAAGGTATTCAATTGTTGAAGCAGAGACATACCTGGGGTGTTCAGTGTTCTTCCCAAGACAGCAAAGTCAGTCCCCATCGCACCTTGGGCGTTGATGTAAATAGGAAGTTCTTTGGTTATTTCCACTTTCTCTTTATCTGTAGTTGCAATCTTAAGCATGGCTTCTTGAAACCCATTCCTCATCCTCAAATCTTTCTTGTAGTTTGGATTGTAATAAATTGAAGGATTAAGAAATGCAGCTGCAGCATGTAACGATGAATGAAGTTGCATGTTCCATCTCCGATCAATTATATCCCAGATTGGCATGTATTTCTCCTCGATTCCCTTATAATAGGCCTTGATCACATCCTTTGCCCTCTCTATTCCTTCATATATATAACCTATAGCAGGCATGTCACCATCAACCATCCTTAGGAACTTAACCAGAGGTTCAGAAACATTCACAGCTTCATGCGCATACTTCCAAAATCTATCCGAATATAGCAATGACTTAATGGCTTGCGCATCTGGACGCCGGCTATATATGGAAGACAACCACTCTGAATGAGAAAACATATGCTTTAAACTATCTTCATGTAACACTATAGACCTTAAGGAAAGGAAATTAGTGATAAATCTAGTAATTTTTGGCCTGATTAATTCCTTCCCGCCAGTGAACTTTCTCGTTATATTCAAAATCCATGCATGACTATAAATGTAATGTGTGATGGTCTTTGCCTCTTCCAGGACTGTGCTTACCCAATCTTGTCCACCAATATCTTCTAACATCTTATCAATACAATAAGCAGCACAAGGAGACCAAAACAAAGAACTATACCTCGCCATGAGAAGCCTTCCAGCACAAACATAACTAGCACTGGTATCTGTAATAACCTGAACAACATTTTCTACACCAAGCTCCAAAACAACCGACTCCAGGAGTTCAAACAAGTAAGTACTGTCATCTTCACGACCTGAAACATCAACTGACTTCAAAAACAATGTTCCTTTTGGGCATGCAACTGAAAATACAGCGAGTGATCTTGTCCTACCATCAGACCAGTTATCGCATAAGACTGTCCATCCGGTTTCTTTCCACTCATCTCTGTATTTCTTGTAATCATTGTGAATATCAGTTTTCACTTTTTCCAAAAGAGTAGACCTTAATTTCTCATAGCTTGGTGCTTTATAGCCTACCCCACACTGAGCTACAGCATCCACCATCTCCTGATAATACACGGATTTAGCAGCACTAAAAGGAATAGAATTATGAAAGAAAAATATGGCAAGTTTTCTGTCAGCATCATCCTGCTTTTGCTTTTGGGCGTCATCCACTAAATGCAGGGCACTTGGTGAAGGACGTGGAAATAATAAAGATGGACAAGCACTACCATTCTGCCCACTGGATCCATGGTTATGATGGAAGCCACCACTGGCGGATGAGCTATTCTGTTGACCATTAGCTGCAGTAGCTTGCTCCGGCTTCTGTTTCTTGGGAGTTTTTGGTTTCTTAGGAGTTCTTAATATACTTTGAATGTGGTCCCGTACATCAGTTGGAACTTCTGTGCAGGGAACGATGTCTTTGTTTTTAATTTGAGCCAAGTGAAATTTCATCCTGTATACACCTCCACTGAATTCCCGTTGACAATAATTACATCTGACCTTCTGTCTAGTTGCATCAACAAGGACACAATGTTCCCAACAGGCATCTCTTCCACGAACCATTATCTTAAAATGCATATTGACTCAGTAAGGTTCTTATAAAAATATTGACATGTTAAAATTAGTTTAAAATATGGAAGTGTGAAGGAACCATATGATTACTCAAGATGAGCCACCACGAAGGACAACAAGAAAATGGTTATAACCAAGAAAGTTGAGCATAATTAAATTTAACAGATAAAATAAGATCAATATGCAATCTAAAGAGACAAAGAGGCTTTGAACAGATCACAAAACAGAATCTTACAATAATTATAACATTTGTGAATCAGGAAATCAAATTTCATCTTGGTCTACAATAATCCATACCATTTTTCAGTAGTGGTGTATTTAGCATGAAACCAAAATTACAATAATCAAACCAAACAAGCAGAGGAAACGACAAGCAAGCTTGGGTTTGCTTTCTAATTCAGCAAAAAATAATGAAGACTAGAACAACAGAGCAACGGAGAAAATAATCTTTGATAGAAAGCAGATAGCAAGAAGATCAAAAGGCATCCAATGATGTTTGACATAACTAACTGCATGCCTATCATAAAGGTTGGCTCAAATTAGTGGACCAACTTATCACAAGCCATAATTTTCAAAGAAACACCACATGTTAATTGCATTCTTGCTTAAAAAAAAATATGGTTGAAGTAAGTGATAATTTTGATTCTTGTTCTCCATTCACAGTTGAGCTTTCCTAGAATAACCATTCCATATTTTTCACAAGTAACTATGAGATACCATTGCTATCTTCTTGGGAGTTACAAACAGAGGAATACTTCATGAGATTGTCCAAACCTTGTAAGCTGATTGTTATCCATGGATGCAATATCCTAACCAGTGAGGCCGAATAGGCATTTGGAGTAAATGAGCATGTCAACACAAGATACTTTGCATTGTAGCAGTCAAATGCGAAAGCTCGCTAGCTTAGCCATATATCATATCAGATTATATATGATCCTGGATTTTTAGTTTACTAAAAATGGGTTTTGAGTTTCATTATAATAATAATAAAATGAAAAAAATAAATGTGCATCAGTTTGTAAGATTCAGCACCAACGAGATTTTCTATGCTAATCGTTCAGTAGCATAATAACTTAAAGGGTTAAATTGAATTAAATCAATAACTTCGTCTTGAAGTTACCACTCATGACTCATCACTAGAACTAGAAGGCACTTCATTTCATGACAGGCAGAAAAGCATAATTTCTTGGCCTACATTGACAAATGCATTTATATCCTAAATTAATAAAAAAAAATAAAAAAAATGTATTCAAAAATAAAAAATAAAAAATAAAAATAAAAAATTGGAAATAAGAGAGAAAATTATGTGGAAAAAAAAAATACACAGGACAAGGGGGCAAAAAATACACAGAGATAATATGATGAATTCATGAAGGAGAAAGGGTACCTGGAGGTTTGAAAAACACAAAAGCAGTGGCAGCTCAAAAGCGAGAAGTCCCAAAATTTTTGGGTTGGTGAATTAAAGAAAGGAAAGCATAGAATAGAAGAATGGCGATATTCTTGTGTAACGCTTAGTAGAAATTGAATAGAGTATGAGTGGGAGTGTTTGGAACATCTGATTCAGATGCAATTCCACGTTTGGATAAACATCAAATTACAGGTTCGTTCCTCGGACGAAGAGGGCAGTGAGAGAAAGGTGATGGACCCTATAAATGTAAATATTGTGAGATGAGATGAAAACGGAAAAAGGAAGTCAAAACAACTGCCACGGAGAAGAAGAAGAAGAAGCATGGTTTGTAGTCTGTTACTCTCTGATCTGTTATGAAATGAGAAACTCGGAAATTGTTAACTGACAACAATGTCAGAACTCAGAACACGAAAACTGTATTGGATCAAACTCTTCATTTCATGCTCAGTCAGCCCGTTAGATTTTTAATCCTCCCACAAGCCCAAACCTACCTTTTTTTTTTGGGTTTTTTAACGTCTAGTTTTCATTTTTTAGAAAAAAATTTACTATTTTAATAATATAATTTTATGTTATTTTAAATGAAATGATTGTGTTTTGGTGAATTTTTATTTTTTCTCTTTATCGTAATATTTTCTCTTTCTCCCTCCTCTTAAATTTATGGAAGAGAGACAATATAAAAAACTATTAAATATGTTTAAAATATAATCATTTTACTTAAAATAACACAAAGTGTATCATTAAAATGACAAACAAATTATTTTTTGGTATTTTAATGTGAAGCTTTTAAGCATCAGTTAAAAAATTAAAAATAATAAATAATAAATTAAAGTATTTAATATACCAAAATATTGAAAAGTGTTTAATATTTTATTTAAGTAATTAAATTAAAAATATTTTTTATTCATTAACATGTGTCAGTTTATAGTCTTCTTATGTTAATAAATTATTAACCTAATACACACTCTTATACAAACAGTAGTTTATTTGAAATAACTTGTATTGTTTATATATTTAGAGTATAAACATGTTACTTTCGATTTACCAAAAAATGTTAATTTCAAAAATTATATTACGTTAATTTGCATTAAAAAATTTAAATTAATAATCCACCAAAAAAAGTTAAAATTAATTTATATTAAAATCTATTATTACTTGAATAAATGGACATTTGTTTTAATAATATTTATGTAAATTACAAAAATAAAAATTATTATATTTTATTATATATTTTTGAGCTTAAAGGATTGGCCTCCCTATTGCGCCAATTTTTTTTATTATTGTCTCAATTTTATTAGTTTAATTCATATATTTTATTTTGTTATTCAGGTTGACCTATTGGACTCGACCCATTTAAACCAATATGTATTAACATATTAGTTCAGCATTTTGAACTGTCGCAATGATGTACCATCACTTAATGCATATTATATTTTGTTAGAGCAATTAAATAAATTTTCTGTTCTATATTTTTATAAACTAATTAGCCAATACCATGCGCTCCTACGCTGGACAGGGGTGTTATATGTTCTCTTTTCTATCCATCTTTCACTTTTTTCTACATTTTTTACGCATGATTGCAATTTCTTTGAGAATACTCATTGTCAGAATGTCTTTTGATTCTCGTACAATTCATGAATTGATTTAAGTCACCAATTAAAAATGGAGAATTGTCATACACACAAAAAAAGATGGAGAATTGTCTTTCACTTCCTCCCTGTATCCCCTGAATTAATCTGGGTTGGTCTAACTATAGGTCTGTTTTTTATAGCTTGGGCTCCTTCAACCGGCATGTAAGGTTTAGGCTGAGACTTTGGGTTTGGAAGCTTATACTCTTTATCATGGAGTTCTTTTACCTTGTGTTACTTCCTGCAAAGTTGTTCTACTTTTCTCCTTTGACACCTCCACATTGTCAATGAGCCCATTAACAAGGTCATTGCTAATCTGAATTGTAAATTCACCTATATTAATATTGATCAGACCAATCCAATATGAATTGGGCTTGACCACACATGGTTAAAATTTTGAAGGCTTTGGGTTGAATGTAGTGTGTCATGGACTAATGTTGTTTGCTGAGTAGGTAGTACATGTGGTGCTTCCCAAGTTCAATGGATCTGACTGGGGTACCTGCAATGACACTCCGACACTCAAATCAGTATCAATGCAAGACTTATGTAATATTTTTATTGGAATTAGATGATCATACATGGGTTTGTACCCTTCATATATATAGCAAGTCTTATGCCGCCTCTGGTAGGCGGCATCTCCTTATTAGTTGTTATGGACTGTAGATTTTATCTGTCTCAGTTGGTGCCTTTTAGGCCATAGGTCTACATATTTGCATGTCTTCTTAGAGTGGTAGCAAGCTAGAACTGTCATTCGTGTGTTGATCTGTGAGCGCGGTGGATATCAACTTATTACAGGATCCTTCCTTAGCCTTTAAGTTACATAAGGCGATTTTGAGCAATGAAACCATTGCGCTCCTTTCTGCGCGATGATTATAACACGCGTTATGGGGCCTGTATACTTATTTGGGCCTGTTATAGGCTTTAACCCTCGTGGGCCTATGTTATTATGCTAAGAAAATCCCTATATGAATTGAAACAAGCCAGCAGGCAGTGGCATTCAAAACTCTCCACTTCCTTATTTTCTTTAGGCTATATTCAGCTGACCATTCCTTATTTGTTAGACGCACTGATGATTCATTTACGGTTCTCCTCATCTATGTTGATGACATTGTTTTGACAGGAGACAATGTTGCTGAAATCCAACGTGTTAAACATGCTTTGGATTCTCAATTTCGGATTAAGGACATGGGATCATTGAGATTTTTTCTAGGCCTTGAAATTTCTCGAAACAAAAGTGGGATTGCTGTCAACAAAAGGAAATATGCTTTTGAAATTCTATCTGATACTGGTTTATTGGGAGCCAAACCATCATCCACTCCTATGGTTCCTTCTCTTCATCTCTCTCACACTAATGGCACTCTTCTTTCTGATGGAGATGCTTTATCCTATAGACGTCTTATTGGACGTCTTCTATATCTCACCACAACATGCCCAGATATCTATTTCTCAGTTCAACAACTTAGTCAGTTTGTTGGTGCACCCACTTCCACTCATCGTGTTGCAGCTACCCGTGTTCTTCGTTACATAAAAGGGACACCTGCTACTGGTTTATTTTTTCCTTCACATAAATCCTTACAACTCAGTGGGTTTACTAACTTAGATTTGGCCTGCTGCCCTGATACAAGGAGATCCATTACTGGATTATGTATTTTCTTAGGTTCCTCATTTATTGGTTGGCGCTCCAAGAAGCAACCTATTGTTTCTCGATCGTCTAGTGAAGCAGAATATAGAGCCCTTGCTACTATGACTTGCAAACTCCAGTGGATCACTTATATCCTTCGAGATCTTTGTGTGCCTTGTTCCACTGTTGCGCATGTTTACTTTGACAACATTTCTGCTATTTGTCTTGCCAAAAATCCCACGTTACATGAACATTCTATGCATATTGAAATAGATATTCACGTCACTCGAGAAAAGCTTCAAGTTGGCTTGCTATGGCTCTTTCCTGCTACCTCTTATGACCAACTTGCTGACATATTTACTAAAGCCTTACACCCTTCCTCTTATTTCTCCATTATTGCCAAGCTAGGGCTTCGTGATGTTCACTGCCCAGCTTGTGAGGGGTGTTGAAGGATATATACAATACTGATGCAGTTCATACTACTCATACTGATACCACTCATACGTTACATGCACCTCACAATAGCTGATGTGGAATCAGTTTGTTAATTTCATCATTTACGAAGATTGGTTATTCTTTCAGTTAGATTAGTTTCATTCTTTCTGTTTACTTCTCAAGTATAAATGTAATAATGGGTAACTGATGTAATTCATTATCATCATAATATCAAGGGAAAACTTCAAAAAACCCCTATAAGTTTCTTGAGAATCACTTACCCCCTCCCCAAAATTTTAATCATTTACACCCCCGCTTAAAACTTTTTTATTACTTACCCCCCTAACTTCATTTTCCATCCAAGTTAAAGTTAACGGAGTTAATTTTATAAAAAAATACCAAAACTATCCTTAAAAAAAAAAAAGAATTAACCCTTAATACTAACTAAACACCTTACGGGGGAATTTTTTGAAGTTTTTTTAAAAATCTCAATGACCAAATGGTGAACACTGAAAGTTTGAAACTGTAAGGTATGTATCCCATATATATAAGAAGTATGTCACGATTTTCAAATCAAATACACAAATTTCAAAAAAAAAAAAAAAACACCACAACATACAAGGGACATCATACAATTATTGTAATATTTCCTCAAACTACATGCAGCAGTTAAACATAGAAACTTCACAACAAAAACTTAAAACTTAATATTTCAATGGTGCTGCATATTTTTGTGATCTGACCCTGTGTGCCAGTTAGTAGGCTAAGGTTGCTCATCTTGATCATCACATTACCAAAATCTAGTCTGAAGAGTAATGAGTTTGTGGCATACTCCAAAACTTTTTGATTCGTGGAACCACCATTGAAGAGTTGCTGGTCAGAGTGAAAAAGATCCTTTTTGTTAACCAAATTCCTGTAGTAAGCACTGTCAAAAAATTTCTTGCTGCAGTGTGTTATTTCTTGCTAGCCATAAGGTGCTTAGTTAGTATTAAGGGTTAATTCCTTTTTTTTAAGGATAGTTTTGGTATTTTTTTTTATAAATTAACTATGTTAACTTTAACTTGGATGGAAAATCAAGTTAGGGGAGTAAGTGATAAAAAAGTTTTAAGTAAGGGTGTAAACGATTAAAATAATTTGGGAGGGAGGTAAGTGATTCTGAAGAAACTTATAGGGAGTTTTTGAAATTTTCCCTAATATCAAATTACAAAGAAATTTTTCTCTTAAGAGTGGATTCCAAAACAAATGTGAAGATTTTTACTCCTCTTATTGAGAAGAATTTCTAGGTTAAAATCATCTTGTGTTGCATTTAGTTTAATTATTGTATAATTATGGTTGTAACAATTGTTTTGCTTGCATTCAAGCATTCATAACATCTCACGGAAAGGGAAATTACCCAACACCAATTTCATTAACAAGGCCAAGAATTTATTTAAAAATTTTGTAGACAACCACTCATTTGCAGCGCCAATGTATAAGACTGCAGTACAAAGTCTAAAGTCTAAACCATGTTGCACCGACATAGGATATGGACACGATACGACACCCAACACATTAATTCTAAAAAATATTAGATTTTAATACATTAGGACATATTTTGATATTAAATAATATTTTTAATATATATAATATAGTTTATATTTAAAAGATATAGTCATATAACCAATCAAATATTTAAATTTTATAACATAAATATAAAGCAAAAATAACTTTTCATGTCTTGTTAATTTTTCATGTCAAATTTCATAACAGAAAATATTTAATTTATAAATTTTTTTGTATTTAGTTTAAAAAATAAAATAGAATAAAATATTAATTTACATGAACGTTGATCATGTGTCAATAGACATTGACTACGTGTCGGAACTCCAACACATATTTTTCAAAAAATAAATAAAAATGACATATCTGTGCCTCTATCCACTTCACATACGGCGAGCAAGTAGCTTGGAGCCTTGGACCGCTCCCACAGAATCATATGATCCACAGATCCAATATTTCAATTCGCAATGAATTCTCCATGAGACCAAAGTCATTTGGACCTGTATATTTGTCCGGTAGTTCCCAACGCTCCGTTTTTTATTTTCGTAATGAAATTCTCTATGCGAAGATGATTAGGAATGTTTGTCCAACGCAATTGGATTTGTTTTAACAGTTTATTTTTGGAAATTATTTCTCTTATGTATGGGAGACAAATTCTCTTATATGTTGAGAGATAAATAAAATAGGGCTTACTTAAAAAAAAAAAACAGTAGTCACAGTTTTCTATTTGAGAGACTATAATAGACTATAATTTCTCTTTATCTTTATGTATTAAGTTCAAGAAATATATTAGTATTCTTGCTACTTGTTTAAATTGATGAACAAACTTCATTTTGCAATTTCTGCCTAAACTTGTACCGTAAGAAAGTCCAACCTGACATAATAAACCTGCGTCAGCACCATGTAATTTTATAGAGAGCTTGCAGTGACGCACACGACACTTAATATAGACCAAAATAAAATATTCCTTTTTTATTTATTTATTTACAATCGTGATAGAAGGTGAAAGTAATTATTTAAAAAAAGAAGAAGGTGAAAGTAACACAACAAAAGAGAGATTGAATCATGTCATCATCAATTTTATATAAGTCGAGTGTAAAATTATGATCATGCAAGAAGGGAGGCATTGAACACGTATTTCATTTTTTTCGTTTCTTAGGGTACATATAGTGTTGAAGTCTTTTCTTTTTTTTTTTATGAAGAAAACGATATTGGTTACAAACGATATCAACATATAGTTCATCTTTAGTTTTAACCAAATGAATTTTTCCAAAAACGATATTTCGGGAAGTAACGTGATGGTGAAGAAAGAATTTAGCTCTTTTAAAATTAAAAATATGTTTTAAAGAAAAAATAATAATTATACCTGTTAATTAAAAAATTAATAGAATAAGATATTGTGACAAACAAATAATGTTACTATCAATGTTACTACCACATCTTAACCGTTGATTGGTAGAAATCAACGGTTACATTTATTGCGAATTAATAATTAATTAATGAGTTTGATTTGAAAAATGATAACCGTTGATTGACGGAAATCAACGGTTAAGATGTGGTAGAAACATTATTTGGTTGTCACAATATCCTATCCCAAAATGAATAATTAAAATTGTAATAAGATATGTGTATATGTATATGATTATGAAATTACTAAAAGAATTTGTTGATTTTGGAATCAATAATTATTACTCTTTATATATATAAAATTCGTCGAAGATTACTGGAGGAACGAAAAAATCCTTGTCGGGTTTAGGTTATGGAGTGAGTCGCCCAATTGCGTTGTTTACTTTTTAAAATGTTATCATGAGTACCACCACTAAGCACTTAACTAATGGAGGCACTATCAAGTCCAGAGATACACAATGGATCAGAAAGTTCCTCAAAGCGCAATTTATTTATCCAAAGCTGATTCCCTGATTAAGTGTACTTTTATTAGTTTATACCAAAATGATGATAAAGTGAATAAGAATAATTGGAACAAACTCTCCCCATGGACATTGCGATCGCCATTGAATTACTTTTCAGTTTAATTTGTCGAAAGCTAGTGAATTATAGCATTCCTTTCTTGCCACGTACATTGTAGCTCAAGATGAAGCAAATAGAATCTTACCCCCATGCTGGGAATATACTATGATCCAGCAGCCACTTGGTTATTGCCTAGCTATATAAGTTTCTGGGATTGGGATGAAGTACCTATGCTTTTACATTCATCTGACAGTGTCTACACAGTTCATATTTTAACTTTTGGCTTCTGTAAATATGACTTTCTATTAGTTGAAATATAAGTAAAATGACTTGGGTTAGTTGATGCGAAGCTTGTTTGATTAGTTCCCATATAAATGGTAGCATCCAACTCTATTCCTAAGGCCCCTTTGGTATGCAGGATTTATGGAAATTTTCGGAAAACTGAATTTTTCTAAAATTTTAATTTTCAGATATTATCGTAAATTTAATGTAAAAATTATATTTCTGAAAATTGAGATTTCCGAATAAATTTTTTTTCTCTTCTATCAAGTCATTTTAAGAATTGGTACGATTTTAGTACGATTTCGCAAGTGTAAATAAGCCCATTACGGATTCTTGTAATGGTAGCACTGTAAATACTTGTTTTTTTTTTTGTTCTTTTAAGAATTTAGTTATTTTTAAAGTGACAGTGCACTTTAGAGAATAAATTACCGAGTTATAATTATTAGTTGGAAAACTGAAAAATATATATTTAAAAAACTTTATAAATTATATATGTTTAGACATTTTATTATAATCTCGTTTGTTAACAGTTTTAACTTCGGACTACATCTTTTAAAGTGCATTCGTCGCGAGTTAAATTATATTGGTAAAAACTGTGATAAGCCCTTTTGTTTTTATTGGATGACCATGAACTCGTACAATAAAAAGGTAGTCTATTTCATTTTATAGATCCCACCTCAACCGCTTTCAAAAAAATTGAGATTCCTCCTCTGAATACCGAAGTAGCTTTGTTACATGATTAAAGAAAGGAAAGTGATAAATGATAATGGAATCGAACTAGCAAAAGGTGACGAACTGGGGACATACACACACAGAAAAAGAGAGAGGAAGTTGTTCTGCATATGATAACAATCAAGCACTATTCATACATTAAAAAGAAAAGTAAAGAAAAGCACTGCTGTGCTTCATTAAAATGTCAAAAAGTTATTCCGCAATCAAAACAAAAAATGCGCTCCACCTTCACCTGTGGATTCAATGTTCGGGGGACGGGGGGTAATTAATCACCTTCATCTCTCTGTCTATCCATCTCTATGTGACATAAACCGGGGAATGAAAAGAACATAGTAGAATTTATAACCACAATAAAACAAGATTTTACCATTATTTTCAAAGTAAACATCTATGTACAATAGGTTTTATAATCACAAAACCTACTAGCAAATTAATTGACATTTCCCATATGTTTTGTCCCTCCTACCATACACAAAAAGATTACAGCATTTCCAAGAATACGAGTAATGTGGCATTTAGGGGATTTGGTTTTCTATAGTTCTTGTGATTTGGTTGGCGAGGAGCCTCATAAGTGGAAAGGTTTTCCGTCCACCTTCCAAAAATATTCTGTAACGTACTAGGTAGATAAAGTTCTACACCAAGAACCCAAATTTAAGCCCATGGTATTTTGTCACATGTACAGATTTGATAGCATACTCTCTTTCTTTTAAGGACAATTCATTTCACCAGATGTACTTCTTGCTAATGCCCTTTTTCCTCCTTTCCTATAGTTTGTGGTGCATTTGAATCAATCTCACTGAAACAATTAAAACCAAAATCATGAATACCAAAGTCCTGGCAGTCCAACAACCAAGCACCGTTATCTTCCCAAGATGGAAAACCCATGTCATTATTTGTATTATCTGCTTTAGGTGTACTATCCCATAATGCATCAAACAGTGGAGTTTCATCCAGCCACAAGCTGTTTATTAGAGATTCATCGCTGCAAATGCTATCCAGCAAAAGGGATTCTTCTCTGGAAGAAATCTCAGCGGGTGATGAGCTCGAATTCTCTTCTGAGTTGAGAACCCCATCATTTTCCTTAATCTGATGGTCATTGCCAGCTTGTGGCAAATGCTCTGCAGGGGATGAACTGTCCATGGACGAGACTTGTTTGTTAAGAGGTTCATGAGTAACGGGATCAATACCCATCTTAAGGAGCTTTTTCTTGATGTGGGTGTTCCAATGATTTTTAATTTCATTGTCTGTCCTTCCTGGTAACCTGGCAGCAATCTTGGACCACCTGAGACAGAGCAACTACACCAATCAGTCATATATATCAAAATCCAAGACCGTAAGTTAAGTCGCAGCATTTACGGATAAGCTTGCTGTGGGGGTCTTTTCTTGGTTGCAAAGAGGACTTATATCAAATAAACCGCGTTGATCGCTTTAAGTAAAATCTTCAATTGAATTAGTGCTATTTATCTTGCAACCAATGAGAATATGTCATTATTATTCACCCAACGATCATTTCCAATTTAATAACTTTTACAATGTACAAAGAGAACGGTAATTATGCAGGCCAATAAATTATCTTCTAAATAATAAGTATATAATAAGATTTATACAACCATATTCTTATATGGTCATTGTTTTATAGTTTTATGCCTATAGCTCTGCTTTTCAAATTTATCAAATACCATTTGGTGGGCACACCGCACACCATGCATGTCTTAACATTATGTATGGTTAATACAAAAAAGTCACAGTAATCAATGGTTAAGAGTTCCACGTAGTTTAAAATATGTTGGATGGAGAAACCAAAGTAAAGAACATGGTTCATTGTTGAAGAAGCTCTAAACGCAGGGCAATGTATGAAGTATGAAGGTGAGCTTGTGAAAAGTGAATAATTAACCTGTTGCCAAGACGGGCATGGAGGTCGATAACAAGCTGCTCTTCTGCTTGTGTGAGGAGCCCTCTCTTCAAGTCAGGTCGAAGATAATTAGTCCAACGAAGACGGCAACTCTTGCCACAACGCCGAAGCCCAGCAAGTTTTGGCACAGCTCGCCAACAGCACTGGCCATTGGTGAGAATGAAGTTGATGAGTTTCTTGTCTTCTTCAGAAGTCCATGGACCTTTCTTCACCCCAAGTTTGTCACAGCAAGGTTGCCTCCCCATACCACTAACACAACACCACTAGCTAGCTAACCAATACAAACCTTCAAACCAATACAAAAGTCTCTCTAACACTACCTTGTTATGACCCAAAAGTTCCACACCCACCTTTATATAATAAAGCTTGTTCCTTTTCCTGGCTAATTGTTATATAAAAAAGAAATATGCATCCCAAAACACTCAAATAGGAGGCAGAGAAAAACTGAGGGGGAGGTTGGGGGTCCACCATTGAGTTGTGAAAGGTACGGGGGAACTAATATGGGGTGTTCTGGTGTTTATAGCTGCATAAAATGGGTGACGCTGAAAGATTGGTGACCCGAAGGCAGAGCTACATGTAAGCATCCCAAAAAGAAACAAATAAAAAAATAGTGTGTGAAATGATTAATCTTTTACATACTTCTTTTAAATTCCACTGCCCTGATTGCACTCTTACTCAACCATTTCGTCATCACCACGTTTACGTGTCTTTATTAACAGTAGATTGTGATACGGTGTAGATGATTGTTAGAAGTGTTTTGGTCCGGTTGAGCAAGATAACCGCTTGATGTGATGAAACTTGAAGGAGATGTGCTGTGTGTGTGTAAAATGATCATCTGTGCTGTGTCATGTGTGTGGGACAACAAGCTGCTCTTAGTTTGAAAACATTAAAATATTACTTATATTTTTATTTATTTGACATTCTTGTTATTCAGGAATTGGACAAAATCTCTTCTGTTTTGGAGGCCACAATTTCGTTTTTCCTCTATTTGTCCCACTTTACAAATAATAATTCCCAACTCACTTTTGTCCGTGACACACTCTATCTAACCTGACATTAATGCCTAATCTCTCATGACCCATGCCTTATTTTTCGTTTTACGAACTTAATCAATTAATAAAATTGTGACCATTCATTGACCATAAAGCATTCCACCGAGCCATGACTCCACTATATTTGGAAGGATGACTAAAAGGATTGAAAACAAGTGGTTCGGATTAATTTTATCAGTCAGAGTTGCAAGGAAAATGTGTGAGAGAGCGATGCGTCTATAAGCTGTTCAATGGCAGCACTGTGCTGATAGAAGCAAAATGCAAACGATTTTATTACAGTTATTACTTATTATCTTCTATGGGTCAATTTCTTTATTCTCATCGCGTTCGCCCCACAAGTAACTATACTATTCCACTTTCGCGTATTCTACATACGGACATACCAAATAACAATATAACACATTGCGCGAGTTTCTGGGGTATTAGAACAATAATGATATTCCATGGAAATGGATCCTCTTGCGTTAAAAAAATATATATGATAAGGTCGTGTGTGAGAAGATCATAACCATACAAAGGTAAGTCAATGGTTATGATCTTGTAATTATCTATTTTATCATTTTTCCTCTCTTCTCCTTTATCTATTTTTATCATATTTTCTCTCTCTTCATTTATTACCATTGATCCCCTTTGTATAGTTATGATTCCCTACATGACATGATCATATGAATTTTCACATGAGAGAATCCAGATCTTCATATTCCATAGCATACGATTCAATTTGTATGTGTGGCGAATCTCGGTTAACCTATTTATACTTATCGTAGAATAGATGCCAGATTGCCAGCAACTTAAAACTATGAAAACAACTTAAGGACACACACTTATATCTTTTTAAGAGTGATAAAAGAACAAATTATGGGGAGAGAGAATGGAGGAAAAAACTTGTAATTTAAAATTTAAAAAAATACATTACATTCATATAAAAGGATCATCCTTTTAAATGACAAACACTAAACTCTAAAACTATATTGGGGAATTTTGTTAAAAAAGGAAAAAGAATTATTATTAGGGAAAATATTAAACGCCAACAAAATAAAAATTAGGGAAGAAGTACATACATTAGTGATTTGGGAAATTACATGTTCCACTTTCCACTTTTCAAGTCCCATTTATGAAGAAACTGTATTCTTTGACACCATGTCTGCACAATCTAGTATCTGCGGGAATAATTATATCGTAATAAAATTAGCAAAAGACTAAACAGATAATGGTTGTTATTTAGAATATATTATAATTTATTGCCAATCAACTACTAATAGGAATGCGTTTCTTTAGCCTGGGACAAGAAAAGACAGAGCTAGATATGTAATGTTTAAAGAGAAAGTAATATTTACAAACTTTTTATTTATAAACTCTTACAAATTACATTAAGTATGATTGGTTATCCTTCAATCAAGAATATATGATCGGTTATACTTAGTGTAATTTGTAAAAAAAATTGTAAACGGAACATTCCTCAATGTTTATTATACAAACAACAACGGAGGTATGATAATTCGACGGACAATTCATTGAGTTTTTTCTTTCTCTGTTAAGTGCCTGTTTGGATTCTCTCTTTTTTAAGCTACAAGCTACTTATAAGTATAAGCTAGGCCAAACAGATTTTAAAAAAAGCTCTTATAACGAAAAGCTCTTTTTTTTATAATGAAGAAAAAAGCTGAAAACTAAAAGCTCCTAGGAGCTTTTTTTTAAGCTCTTATCTGTTTTTTCTTGAATTGTGTGCTTTTTTTTAAAATGAAGAGTGATAAAGATAGAAAGAGATAATTTTCTTAAAATATGTGTTTTTAAGTAATTTTTAAGCTAAAACTTTTATGTAATTTTGAAACAGCTTTTAGCTTATTTTTTTAAGCTTTTTTTTTTTTACTTTAACTTATAAATAACTTCTAACTTAAAAATAAGAGGATTCAAATAGGCTTTAAATCTGCTCCGTCGCTCTAAAGTTCAACCAATATCATACAGATGCGTGCATGTCTTAGTAAAAGTAAAATTAAACCACAAACTTGGTTTTGTATCTTTGACACGGACTAGACATGAACTTGTTGATACTAACACGAACCATAAAGCAGGTTGTGTTTCGTCCACCTACGCCTAATTAATTCTAGATTGTTCCTTTGTCGGGCCAAGTTCTTAGCAGATTGGTTGAACTAAGCATTCTACCACCATGGCCAAAAAAAGGAAAAGTCAATATCTTTCATTCCGTGCGAAGGAGATCATATCAAAGCCAAATATTTGATCTAACAACTCGACCCCGTGATGTATACTTATCCTTCTGATGGATCTATCATGCGACTCTTTAATATAACATTTTATTACATGGTACCTACAGCTTAGGTGGGGGGTAGTTTCTAACCCCAATTTTTGGTATTTGACTTATTTCCTTTGGCTTTTGCGCCAACGTATATATGTGTGTGTAACAATTCTATTTGTGGTTTTTTTTTTTTTTGTGTGTGTGGGGCTTGTAAAGGCTTATTTTTATTTCTTGATAAGAAAATCCAAGTATATAGTTTATTAACAATATTTTGGGATATTTTGGAATATTATGATATTTTAGAATTTTTTATTTTTATTTTTGCTATTTTATATAAGAGTTTTAATTATGTATAAATCGATTATCAATCAATAATATCATTTAAAAAAAAAATATTTCTATTCTTAATAAATGCTTAGTGTCGAAAATCGTGTCAATTACTGTATAGATTCTTCTACTGTATAGTTAATCATTAAAACCAAATATATATTTTTTTGTTCTTTCTATAAAGTTGAGTATTTTCTTTTTTATTTTTTGGTAATAAAGTTGAGTAATTTCAATATAACCTTAAATCCAAGTATAAAGTGCTACGTGTCGAAAACCGTATTCAATTGCTGTGTTGACTTGCAAGGCACTATACGTGAGATATCTATTAGCACGAGTAGCATCATTATCTGTGATGTTCTACGAATCAATACATACAATTTCCCATGAAGAAGTAAATATGACTGCTAGACTTCAATCACTGATGACTGGGATAAACTATATTCATACTTCGATCCGGATCTTTTTGTGTGAAAAAAAAAATTGATATGATGATGTGAAAAATTATATTCATATAAATATAGATTAATAATAATAAAGAAAGAGAGGTTTATTGGAGAAAAAAAGAGAGAAAATAATATTGAAATAAATAGTTATAAAATTATAACTGTTTATTTACTTTTATTTTCACATGACCATATGATGTTTTTTTTTTTTACATGAAAGATTCATTTCCTTCATACTCTAAGTATATGATTAGCTACTAACAAAGCTAAGCATAGTTGGTAGATAATTGGATTTCTTAAACATATTGATAGGAATTTGATCTCTGGTCGTATATATGAAAAAGACTTTATTGAGAGAAATTTACTCATTTAATGTAATCTTTCGCCTCAAAAGAATTACTCTATAACTGTTAGCCGGAGAATATCTTTAAAACGAGAGAGAGTATATGATTAGCTAAATTGATCAAGGCAACAAAAAGAAACGGTTATAAGTTTCAGATTGAGTTAGCAAGAGTGTGCATTATAATGTTATATAAATTTTTTTATTTATGTTTAATTTATAAAATATAAATAGTTAGAATAAAAATTTGATAAAATTAATTTATTTTTAATTTCAAAAAATGAGTTTATAGTCCAAAAACACATTTGGCCAGAAATTATAAAATAAAACATTTATTTTTTTGAACACACTTTTACTACAAGAAATTTGATAAATAATGACTTTTTTTAATCAGTTATGCTTAAACCGCATCTAAATGATATTCAAAGGCGATTTTTGCTGACAGTTATATTGATTTGAGGCAGTTACACTATAATCGCCTCTAAATGCATATTAGAGGCGGTTAAAATGACTGCTCACATTGAACATTTCTAGGAGGTTGCAGTATAATCGCCTCCAAATGTAACAATTAGAGGCAGTTATATCATAAGTGCCTTTAAATGTATATTGAACGCGGATAAAATAACCTTCCGCATTGAACATTTAGAGACGATTTAGGTATAATCGCCTCCAAATGTAGTAAATAGAGGCATTTTTACTGTAACCACCTCGAAATGTTCAAAGAGGACGATTGTTTTAACCGCCTTGTAACCACCTCCAAATGTATATTAGAGGTGATTAAAATAATCGTCCCCGTTGAACATTTTGAGGCAGACAGAGGCTTGCTTACATAGTTTCGAGCAATAATATTCAAAGAAGAAAATTTCTTTGTTCAGCCGTTAGATTATCTTCAAATTTGGTCAATGGGTTCTTCTCTTGTAATA